TCAGGAAGCTCGAGGCAGAAAGGAAGATGCCGATGAGCCGGCGGTGGCGGCCGAGGGTGGACGCGGCTCTCCGGGATGGAGCCAGGAGCTCCTGCTGCGGAGCTGCTGTGGGAGCTGAGCGGCGGGAATCTCGCGTTTCGAGCCCCTCGGGTACAGACTGGGGAGGGAGCCGGGAACTTTGTTCTGGCAGCGGAGAAGAGGTGTTAGGAGCCCACGACCCTTTGGCAATGCTCTCCCTGTGGGACAGGGCTGCCGCTTGCCCAAGGTCAAGTTAGCCACTGGTTACAGAGCCACCCCTGCCTGGCCCGGGGCAGGAGGAATGCAATGCCTCAGTTAGTAATCCTAACGTAACTCTTGGTCCTGGACTCTCTGGTGTAGGTAGGCCCGGAGCGCTGACACTTATCCTCACCACAGTCCCGGGAGACAGTTGCTGCTTCTGTATTGCAGGAGGCTGGACGGAGCCAACAGGCGGCTTGCCTAACTTAGAGTGCCCAGTAACTGGGGTCAGCAGGAGCTCAGGTGCTTTGTGCTCTTGAGTTTACCGAGAGCTCTCACATCCATGATCTGGCCAGCCCTTGCAGGCAGGAGTGATGGCTGCACCCCCACTGTGCAGCTGAAGAAACAGGCAGCAGAAGCTCCTGGGGAGAGAGCTGAGTGGCAGCAGCTCCCTAGAAAGGACCCCCTCGCGCGGCCATGTCTGGCTTATGTGCCCTCGGCCTGTCCTTGAGTTTTATGTTTGGTCATCTGGCCAGTGTGGTAAGACCCTTCACTGAAGCCCCAACACACCTACAGACTTTTCACTGAGCACCTCCGAAAACAAATGGGAGAGAGAAGTTCTTGGAATACAGCAAGGGCCGCCGTGCTCGTGCGCCAGGCTGCGCAGACAGCCACGTGTGTCCGGGCAGGTGGAGACGCCCTTATCCACCTCCCGGCCCCTCTCGCAGATACCACAACCGAGGCCCAAGGGTGGCCGTTCACCAGCTCCCCCACACCACTCAGCTGCCTGCCCGCAGGTTCACAAAAGAAATTCAGGGGCATTTTGCATTCCCGGCCCATGATCCGTCCCTTAATTTGTGATGTGGTCAGCTACCTGGTGGTTATGTTTTAACCATATCCCCATGGATTTCTGAGTCAATGGAAATTTTGCTGGAAAGCGCCACAGGGTTCCAGTGGCGGCACAAGTCCCCGTGTCAGATTTGGGGAGAAGGGGGCGCTCCCTGTCTCCGTTGATCAGACAGTCAGTGCCAGCTGTGGTTTGTGAACTGTGGGGAACATGAGAGGTAGGGGAGATGGAATTTTATGGCCTCTCGGAGCTTGAAATGAGTAACAGTAAAACCAGTGCTGAGTGTAGACCAGCTCACCACTTCGAAGGGCACAAGTAAAAGTCAGCAATTATGGGAGCCTGGTAAAGGCGGGTTGCCAGGAAGGCTGCACCGAGGAGGTGGCCCTTGACCTGGGCCTTGGAGGTTGGGCAGGCTAAAGGCCAGCGGTGGCAGGTAGGAGCACCCTGGAGTACCCACTCGCCCCTCGCTCTGCGCCTCCCAGCGGGGGCTGGCCTCCTGCACCTTCGCTCGCTCCTGCTGTGCTTCGCGCATGTAGATCTAATTTCCTGTAGACTGTCGGAATGGATTCAGTGCCCGGGGGTTGGATTGGGTTTTAGGTTGTGCTGGACATAACCCTTGGGGTCCAGTTAGGTCAGGGTGGCCAGCCCAGCCGCCCCAGGAGTCATCAGGTGAAGCAGAGGTTCTGGGAACCAGTGCTCGTCCTCTGTGTGTGCCGTGGGACTTGCCACGGGGCGCGGGCAGTGGGTGCCTTCACCCACCCGTCTGCCGTCATCAGTGCCCTCCCAGAAGCAGGCCCCGGAGACACTCGGGTCACTCAGCACTTCACTGGGGGCTTCTGAGCCCCCGGTGCTGGCCACTGTGAGCAAGACGTAGGAGGTGTTTTTTTCTCTTGGGGAACTTCAGGGAGGAAACAAAAGTAGCCAAATGAAATAGACAGGTTTGGAGGTATCCCTGAGGACCTGCAGTGACTGCGGAGGCAGGGAAGGCTCTGGAAGAGAGATCAGCATCTCTTTTTCAGGAGATGCCCAGGTCTGGACTTTTATGTGAAACATCTAGATTTTTAAACGGGACTCAGTATTTACCTACTTCTGAAGGCGCATGCTGCGGGGCCGTAGGTCAGACCAGGTGCCCAGGGCTGCTTAGCTGGTCCCCAGGGCCCGGCCGGGTGCCGTGATAGAGAACCTGCAGCTCTTCCTCGGTGGAGCTCTTCTGTGAGAGAGGGCCAGTCAGAAGCCAGGGCCTCTGAAGGCAGACAGGAGGGGTCTGCTGGGGGCAGGAAGGTCACCATCAAGAGCGATGGCCTCTTGTGCAGGACCCAAAAGGGTGAGTGGGTGTCAGAAGCACCATGGCGAGCATGTGGAGGTGAAGGATCAAGCGCCTCGGGATCGCGGCTCCCAGCCGCGTCTCAGAAGCTCCGTGCAGGGGTGAGGTTTGAGCCCGTTGGGTGTCTTCATACCAGTCGCAGGTGACCTGCAGAATGAAGGGAGGTTTCCAAAGTGATGACACATTAACCGTGGGTTTTAAGAAAATTCAACTGGGGTGACGGGCAAGGAAGGCTGGTGGCCACCACCAGCCACCACTTAGGAGGGGCTGTCATGCAGGCTCTGCACAGGCCGGCCGTGGCCTCCCAAAGGTGTCGCCTTGATGCCTGCTGGAGGTGGGATTCTGAGATCTCGTCCAGACTTGGGCCCTGCAGTGCTGGGCATGCGCAGAAGCCAGCAAGGAAGGGGCGCTGGCTGGGGAGACAGTGAAAACCTCTTCGACAAGCAGGACTGGGCCCCGAGCAGGGCATCCAATAAGAAACAGAAGGGAGAACCCGGCACAGGACTGAGGCACCGCCACTGTGGACGACTGAGGATGGAGACAGCGAAGCTGGAAACCGGAGCGTCAGAGGAGGCAAAGGGATGGCCACAAACACAGGAGGGCGCCTCCCTGGGAGCAGTGCTGCGAGGACCCGGGTGGGGGTGGGCGGGGGACAGTCCTGGAAGGAGGTAGGGGGACTGGTGACCAGTATGCCACACGGGCCGGACGGAGGCAGGAGTGGAGTGCTAGATGCATGGACAGCTGTGCCCTCTGGAGATGGCCGAAGAAGCCCTTTGATGCGCTAAATCACTTCTGTTCTGGGGGAGGGAGGGAGGGGGCTGGCTCATCTGGGGAGCCCCCCCTCACCTCCGCTCTCCCCATTCATCCTGTGCCGGGCATTGGGGTTGCGTAGAGGCGCTCTGACGCTGGAGAAGCGGTTTTCGTGTAGAGGCGTGTTTTCATTTCTTTGGGCTGACCTCTGTGTTTTTGTTGCTGTTAGTATTTTTCCAGCGTTTATAAGCGGTTTATTCAGGTGCTTACTCAAGCCTGTCAGGAGAGCCGCTCCAGTGTGACGGCTCGGTGCTCTGTCTCCCTCTCACCCCATGTGGCTGCCTCTGGGCCGCCCTCTCTGACCTAAGTGTCCTGGGGTGATGGGGAGGCCCTTTCTCTGGTTCTCGTCCTTAACTCCCTGCTTGGATGCGGAACGTCCTCTCACGGCCCCTTGAGAAGGAGCACATTGGGGTGCCGGGGGGGGGGCTAAAATGCCTTTATTCTAATCTGACTTCAGTTTGATCATTCGGCTGTGTTTAGACTGAGGTTTGTATCTGGTTTCTAGAAAGGATTTATTAATTTATGCATCCTAGAACTAGGCTGTAGGCCAGAGGCGTGGGGGACCCGTTCAGGCGGATCCACTGAAATCCTCTGCTGAGGGGGCAGCGGGAGACAGGAGAGGCCTCTGCGCCCTGTGGGTCACGCCCTGGCGGGGATCGAACTCAGGCTTCAGGGGCTGCGACAGCTTCCTAGTGCTGTGCTTAAGCCCTTGCGCACGGGAGGCCGGTGTCAATTATTAAAGCGCAGTCTGAACGTTGCCTTCTAGCTTCTGTACCACTTTGACCTGGCCCGTTGCCAGGGGCGCGTTCTCTGGAAACGGGCAGACCCTTGCCCTGTCCCCGGCTGTCCTGACTTGCCTGCTGCTCACTGTGCCCCCTCGGAGGGCTCACTCCGCCCGCTGCCTGCATGCATGGAGCCACCCCGCCAGCCCACAGAGGGGCTTCCGGGTCCTGAGCCTTCAGGTCACAGACTTGGGCCTCCGCTGGCTTCTCTCGGGCGGGGCCCGGACAGTCCCTGTACAGAAAGCTCCCTGTGAAGGTGTCTGGCAAGGAGGAAGGCTTCCCGGAAGGCGGGAGTGGTCAGCTGGGCGGGGAGGGTGCCCTGCAGGCGGCTGGCACCCACCCCCACCCCAGGAGGCGGAAGGGAGCAGGGCAGAGCTGGGCCCCCACCTCGCTTCTCCGTGAGTCATGCCCTGCCGGGCTGCGGCACAGGCAGAGGGCTCACCCCAGCGCCCGCTGCAGGGCCCGGCTGCCTTGACAGAGTGTTGATCGCTGCGCTGACGCTGATGCTGCTGCGGCTTGT